GCATCAGTGGATGGCAGTATGGCAGAGTACATCAAATGATGGAATATAACATTAATGGATGGCACATTACAAATCTCATGAGCTTTGAACTCTAAAACTCAGTAAGTACCCCCCTTAACCCATACACTCTGGTGATACTGTTGCAAAGACATTTTTTGGATCGAACAGGACCTAAGGGCTTTTGCTGTCCGTCGTGAGATCATGTTCACATCAGTTTTAGGACAGTTGGACGTTGCTTTAGACATGCAATGTCCATTTTTTCCAAGCTACTGAACTCCCAACACCCTAGCTATTAGTACTCGGTCACAAAAGATTGCTGGTGGAATGGATTGTATAAAACGGTCTCGTAACGGCTACCAATAGCGACGGAGGTGTGGAACTACGTTTGATCACAGCTTGTCTGAAAATCTCTCCATATCAAACGCCTGTCAACCAACGGTCAGTCTCTCGCTCCAGTCCTTTCGACTCAAAGCATCTGGTAACGAGAAGACAAGCCCATGGGAAAAAATTCAACTTGGCATCCGGCGCACGGCCGAACACCGCGCACTTCAACCGACATTGGTTGTGCAACGCTTCAACGGAACTTTGTTGCACACTCTTGGCATGTCCTCAGGCGAACGCGCTCGTGGGTTTCCCCCACCAAAAATAAGTTGTTCTCTTGCCATCTCTCATTCCTGCGTTTTCTGTCTATGAATGAAATAAACAAACAAACAAATACCCCAACAAATAGACAAATAAACAGACAAACAAACAAACAAACAACCCCACAAACAAACAAACCAACAAACACAAACCAAAACACACCTGAGTTTTTGTGTGTGGCTGAGCGGGCGGTGTTGCCAGCGGGATTGGCAACGTCAAAGCTGATGTTGATGTTGTTGGGTAACAGTGCTCTCAGGCCGTCCTGCCAGCTCTTGACGGACTCTGGGTGTTTGGTCTGCGCCTGGGAAGGGGACAGGAAGGATGAGAGGGAACGTGACAAGGTGCCTTTGTGATGTAAGTGCAGTTTAACCACTTTGTGCCGGGGTAGCCCGGTACCGGAGACGTTGGCTTTATACGCACAGCCAGGGTGCCCGAAATCAGACAGAGCTGGGCCTTGTGACAAACGACAGTACTCGGAACAAAAGACCGGGCTGCTGGAAATTGCAAACATTTTTTCAGTTGTCAATAACGATGGTAGTCCGTCATTGTTTTGAAACAGTATACTAAAATGATGCAACACCGCACAATCTGGACTCTCTTTACAAGGCGGCAGGCCTGGCTGAAATACTCGGGCGTCAACAGATGTTGTCTCTCAGATTAGAGTAGCCACCAGACAGTCATTCGTGTAGGCGTAAACATCCAGTAAATGAAGTTATGAATTTTTGAAGAATTTTGAAAACGGAAAATCTTGAAAATCCCACGGGAACTCGTCATGCAACTTCAAATTAAACCCGGCAGAAAGTGGTTAACCATGACTATGTCAGACACCCGAAAATGCCGCTTTATTTTAACGTTGTCATCCACAGTGAATGACAAACAGTCACGCCGTTCACTGGAACACCAGTTACGTTCCCACGCTGAATATAAGGCAGGAGCTGAAATGAACAGTGTTTAGGCCTGAAATTTGCCAGCATTTCAAATGAAGAAATCGGGTTCTGGCCTATCCCTATTAGAAATACTACGGTGGGACTTTGCCAACATTTGTTCGCCAATCACTTTAATCTGAACAGTCGTGAATCGTTCAAAAGTACGAGAATCCAGAATTCGGGGTGTCGGAGTTTGAACGCGTGGATTCGCCAAGGGAAACAATTTAGATGAACTTCACTGAGATGTAATTCATGGAACTCTTGCAGCGGGCGGAGGAACGTAAAAAGACAAACTCGGCATAGATGAATTAAAGTTGAGAAACTTATCGCCACAAACGGAGGGGGGGGGAAGACTTTGAAACAGTCAGACAGACAGATGGAGAGACAGATGGACAGGGCTTGATGCCTCACCTGTGAGGGTGAATGATGTGGTCTGGGATTGCGGTTGTTGAAGCTGGGAGGAGAAGAGATGTGCTGGGGTTTTGAGTCGGCCGGCCGGTCCATCTGCAGCCAGTTCAGCATCTTACTGCTGCCTGCATCTGCCAAAGATTATCAAGGGGTTCTACAGGTCATGTAACATCTGAGCCTTCCCCCAAATCCTCAGCTATTCCAGTTGTACTTAATTGTACAGGACAGAACACAGAGAGCACTAAAAGTGTATTTGCTGTCCTCAGAGGTCCAGCTTTTGTCCTCGGTAGTATGTGCCTATTGCTGTAGGGGAGACAACTGTGGACCAGCGTAAGACCAACACAAGACCTCCGGTCTGAATTCAAGTCACAAGCTGGTCAAGTGAACTGCAACGAGAGCATTCTCTTGCCACTGCTTGGAACTGGTCTTGCTTCCGGTCTTGTGACCGTATCGACTACAAGAACCGTATGAACAACAGGAAATGCAATGCCGTCCTCTCGGAGGCACGGCACAGCACGACCCCATGTGCTCGTTTATATATCTGGTGAAGAGCACGGAAATCAAAAAGGTCTCCAGTTTTTCCCAGTTTTCAAGACCTTCTTATGACTTTTCAGGGACAGATTTTTTTTCCCAGGGATTTTTAAGGTTTTTTCCATGACTGTCGGAACCCCATTTTCAGTGCTTGGGAATTTCTTCCACGAAATTGGCACCTGGTATAGAGGGTCTGCATGGCTACCATCTTGCAGGCCAGCGCTTTTGTACCACAGGGTATTCACCCAGGAGGTTTCCCTACGGAACAAAAGAACTGCCCCGCAAGATGGCTACAGCGCAACGCCTCTAAAGGCGGAGGACTGACCTGAGCCCAAGCCGTGGTTTGCCGGGATGGTGAAGCCGGGAGGGGGTTGGGTGGCCTTGACGGGGTCAGAGGCCACGGCGATTCCCAGCTGCAGCTCCTTCTCCAGCAGGTCGGCCAGCCCCTTGTTGGACTCGTTCCACGGGTCAAATCCTGTGCGGGAAACCAGAGAGATAACAAAGGGAGTAACGTGGGAGCTGGGTTTAATAACGTGGTGATTCCTCATCTTTCCGTCTCTGCAGCCAAAGTTCGATTCCCGGCTCGGTCCACACGCGGATCAGGTTTTCAGTCCCTACGTGTTCCTGTGGGTTTTACAAGCAAGGATATTTTTGGGGGGGGGAGTTGACTCCAACTTCTAAAACTGTAACTGCTACTCACTGTCTCCTCTCTACAAGTTTCTTCAGGCTTACGAGCAGCACGGTCTCAGGTATTCCAGGTTTCATTGCCAGAAATGCTTACTACACAATTTTTAACGAATAATATTTTCCTGCGACAAGGGATAATTCACTGTTTGCGTCATGGGCTCTTTTATGTTTAGCCAATTAGTGTGCTAGCTGTCTCAAAACCTAGACCTGAAACAAAGCAAGACTATTAATCTAGGCCTAACCCTCGGTATTCCTGTGAAATGCCAGGTATCTACTTGAGGGGACCAGCTCAGAGACAACGAAGAAAGGAAAGGCGCCTTATTTTCTCAGACTATACGTAGTATGGTGAATCTACAAATGTCACGTTAAAGTGACTGGCTGACATCCCCAAGCAATTCCTACATACTTCCTGCTTTGCTAGGCTGCGAACCTCGTGAAATGTTTGAGTCGGGGAGTCTGGGAATATGTCTTCATGTACGTACCTAGATCGTCCTCGTTGAGCAGGTCTTTTGTGCCCGAGCTGAATCCAAATGCTGCTTGCCAGTCCGTGTGGCTGGCTACTGGCAACAGGTCATTATTCAGAATGACACCTTCACTCCAATCTTGATTGATAAGAAAGTAACCAAAAACAAAGTCCAAAAAGTCAGTGGGACCAAAAAAGTGGCATTTTGGAGCTTCTGCGATAACAAATATTTTCTTGACACTGACCTGCGTCCACTAATAGAATGAATCTCTCTTAATCTCAGACCAATTTCACTGAGCTGCCGAATGCTATTTTGGCTGAGCAAATTTATGCCACGAGCAAAATGCAGCGGCACTTTAAAAAACTCCAGGAGAACCTATCACAAGATTTTCTAACATTATTGCTTACGTCGTCGATCTGGAAAAAGATTGCGACACTTCGCACAGGCAGATCCAAGTTAGTCCAGCTTGAACTAAGAAAAAATCTCACAGCACTCTGGCTTCATTCCAAAGTTTTGGCTAGGGCTGCCAACAACATGGGCATCAAGGGAAGCCGTTGGGCTGGTCAATTGCAGCCACATTCTATAGAGACATGTCGCTGTCAGCCGCAGCCGCAACCTTGGGACATTGACTCACCTCCTGCGGATGTCGGGCCTTGGCGAGGGGGAATCAATGGCGGCACGGTACTACCACCCTGAAAGCCAGAACCTAGCAGGGAAGGGAGCAACACAAACTGTTAAACCATACTGTGTGTGCACCTCTTCAGCATCCTCTGACAGTCCTTCACAGGTGAAAAAACTTCCTGGTGTAAGTGGGCGTAAGGGTGCCCCTCTCCCCCGGAAAAAAAACCGGGAGCAAAAAACATGATTTAGGAAAAAAGGTGGTTTCCTTTCCTTGTTAAAAAGTACAAAATACCGAAACATAATAAAGAGAGGGCTTGTGGGAACACCATGACGATGGATCTCATTTGGAAGAGGTATGGTTCTCATAAGAACCGCTGAGTGTGTACTCGACGTTTCGACGTGTAGTCGCTCTGATAGTCCTCAACCCTTGAACCCTCCAACATGCCATAAAAAATTGTCTTGAACTTTGACTCCCCCGGACAAGTTTCCGCCCCCCAATCCTTCATCTGTCAGAGGACTGAGGAATTCCTGTATGTGATCCCTGATCTGAATTATAAAAATTCAACTTGAGATCCCTGCAGACTCGCACATAAATTTACCAAAATCAGACGGGCGTGTTTGTTGTATCTGAAAGATCAATACGGCGTCGTTCATTAAAGTCGCACTTGTATTCAATGCGAGATGTTTCCGAGTTCTGAAAAAACCCATCCTCATAAAAGCAGGACGGAATTATGCGCACTCACCATTCACCGGCGGTTGTACGTGGGGGTGCGGCGGTGCCAGACCTGGTAGGACGCCCTGGTTCATATAACCGTTAGCGGCGGCGAGGAACGACGGTAACGACTTGTCCGCCTCAAACGAAGATTTCTGATTGGATTGGGACGACGTGCTGCCTGTAGGGACTGGTTGGGATTGCTCGGGACTGGGAGGGGGCAAGCCTAGATGGACAGACAAACAAACAGACCAAAAAAACACAACAAATGAATCGGTGCTGATGAGTAATTGTAAACCCCAGAAACTCTGAACAAATAGCAGGTTGAAGGTTCCTGAGATCTATACCCGCATCAATCAGGATACTTGACGTGCTTTGACACTGCAACGGTGTCATTCCTTCGTCACCTGAAGTTTTTCAAAAAAGAGAGACGTGTCGTACTCTCGTTCTTGCGCGAATCCTGCTTGATCAACTTGCGACCACTCCAGCAACTGATTTCACGAAATGGTTGAACCACGTGCAAAAGAGATTTATGAAACAAATACGAGACGTAGCTGAGCAATGTACTTTAGGTCCATTTCAGTTCATGCGACACATTCGGTTACACATAATAAATCACACCGATCTCAAGATGAAATCTTTCTTTGAAGGGGCTCACCTTCTGTCGAGGGCTGTCTGACCCCTTTTGTCTGTATGCTGATGCCCGTGGGTGGGGATTGGCCTAGGGTTTCCGGTGTGTGATTGCTGACGAGAGGCGGTGTATCTTCGGGAGACTGTGAGTATGGTTCGCTGGACTTGGCCTGCCCAGCCAATGCTGGCCAGGTGTCGCTACTGTTCGTGGTGGGCCACGGGTCACCGTGGTTCGTAACAGGCCAGGGATCGGTGTTGTTCGCGGGAGGCGAGTTATTTTGGCTAGTGGCAGGTGAGGCCGAAGGCTTTTTCCTGTGCAGAATTTGAGACCAACAAAAATCAGACGGCACAGCAAACTTCCCTTTCAAGTACCCCCCAAAAATTAAGAAGTATCATTTTTCTAACAATTCAGAAGACATTTATGGCAAAGAACCTCCTGAATCTGGGAAACTTCAAAGTCTATCTTCAGGACTAGACTAGAAGAAACAAAATACATATCAAACATTTGAGAAGGGGTTGCGGTCCACAAAAGATCCTCCAGGCAAGATTAATATTCATTTTTTTAATTAACTGAGCTCGCTTAAAAGGACTCCACTACTCTACTCAAGACATAACTTGAAACTAAACCCCCGTCGCTAACAAGTACCTGGAGCTTTTCGAATGCTTCTTGCTATGCTCGTTGCCTGAGCTGCCGCTGCCGCCGCCGCTCTTCTGCTTGGGCTGCTGTTGCTGCGGTAGAGGCGGCGTTTCCGTCTGTCGTTTTGACTGCTGCTGCGACTGTTGTTGCTGGTGTTGCTGTTGTTGTGGCTGCTGTGATTGATGTTGGTGCTGATGTTGCGTTGACGGCGCTGTTGAGTGCGCCGACTGAGACTGGCCCGTACCACCGCCCAAAACTTCCTGAGCAAGTTTCTGTTCATATTCTTGGTGCTTCCTATCGTGGGCGCAACGGATGCGAACGAGGAAAAAAAACGTCGTTTTCAGTGACGGTTTCAGGATAAAAATCAACAACATGGAAGTGCACTTACAAATTGACCACAGATGTACATTCCGTTTTACTGTTGAGAATTCCGTGTATATCGTCTGATGTTGGGCCACGGTAGAAATTATTCAGAAATCCACAAACTTTGGAGCCGCCTGATGAATGGAAGTGCTTCTGTCACGAACAAAATTATGACCAGAAAAAAAAATTGTGTCTCCTCGGTACTCACCCTGCCTGCATATCCTCCTTGGTGAAGCTGGCCGCCGAGTCTCCCAACTCATGCAGATACATGCAGTCCTGAGGAGGAAAGCATACGTTCACCGATAAGATTTGAAGCTTTGCATGTTCAAGCATAGACTAAGGAGAGGGCTTGGGTTAACACTCTGTGGATAGATCTCTCGTTTGGAAGAGGTATGGTTCTGAAGAGCACCGGTGAGTGCCTACTCGACATTACAACCAGTGTACCTTGGTCGTTCTCCACTCCTGGGGAAGACCAGAGCACACCGGTCGGAACGTTGATTTTTTCCAAAGCTTTTAATAGGAGGACGCCGAGCGAGAACACAACCTGCCACACGTCCAGGAGGACGGCAAAGAGGCTTGGTGAGGAGGGGATGCTCTCACCGCTGCTGGGGCACAGACCTAGGGGTTCAAGCGGGGAGCAGGCAGGGGAATCTCTGATTAAGGGGAGGAGAAGGTTCTTGAGAATGAGGTGACATTACTTGGTTGCTCACGACGCGCAATGAACTTCGAAAACCAAACTAATACACGTCATCATACAAAATTCATGTCAAGGGGTGTAACTGGAAGAAAATGAAATATATGCAAAATAACTGCCAGAGAATCTTAGAGTCCAGTGGTGTAGCACCTGTGGTAAATACCCGTTTCTTATACCCATTTCTTATACCCATTCCTTATATCCATTCCTTATACCCATTTCTTATACCCGTTTCTATACCAATTTTTACTGGTAAAACTGCCTCACTGGTAAAGTCAAGATTTTAACACAGATTGTTTGACAAATCCTGAAATCAGGAAAATCCGGATGAAAAAGAAAAAAATCCTGGGATCAAGAAAAATCCTGTTGAAAAAACCCTCAAATCGGGAAAATCTTGAGGAAAAAAATCCCGAAATCGGAAAAATCTTAAGGAAAAAACACCGAAATCTGGACAATCTTGGGGAAAAAATCCCAAAGTCAGGAAAAATCCTGCAGCAGGAAAAATCTCCCTCCAAATTTCACCTGTCATGAGGTTAGAGATTTGAAAGGAGATAGGCAGAGATTGAAGGAGAGGAGAGGCGGAGCGAGGTGGGGTTGGGGGGGTGGACTTACCGGTTTGGGACACTGGGAGTTCTTCAGGAAGTGGCTGCAGTATTTTGTCGTTCCTAGCGACGCCTTGAGGGTCCTCCCGTCCACGTGCACGTTGTTGACCGCCTGGATCGCCTTCAGCGCATCTTCATACTTATAGTATGTTACATAGGCACTCGCACTGGGCCCCTGAGGTCGCATTAAGTTAAGTTAAGTCTTTACACTGACCAACACTGACCGTCCAGCCAGTTGACCCAGGCTGCCTGCTGTTTTATGTGAGAAAAGGCCCTCCATGCAAATGGGTGCACTTGACATCCTAGACAGGTCATTATTATGCGTGGTGTTCAGGCAATACCCGTATTTTATTATCTGGTAAGGCCAGTTCACTGATCGGGGGGAATTTGGAGGCAACGTGAATTTGGCGTCACAACAAATCTGATGTAAAATTGGCTCCTGTTGGAGAGAGTTCAACATCTGCAAATTTGCAGCGAGACCGTCACAACTCTGCCGTCGCGTTTGCCTTTTTGCCAATTTTGAACTGGCCTTTCTGTCTAAATGAGGCCTGGGTATGTTGCTCCTTATGTGTTTGGAATGGAAAGTAAACTGTTGATAGCATGTCTCTTGGTTAACTTTAATTGGGAATGATTAAATCAAAATAAGGTGAATCGTCAAACGGGCATGTGCCAAGTGGCACATGCCCGTTTGACGATTCACTGATGCTACCATATTCAGCTCTAACAGCACAGCTATATGTATGCATTCAAAATGCCACAGTAAAGAAGGAACTAGGGAGGAAGTGGGAACGCTGGCCGTCTGCGTCCACCTGTCTAGCCAAGCCTCTCCGTTCTTACCTGCGAGCCGGCGTAGGAAGTATTCTGGTTGATGACAACTTTGACAATCTTCCCGAACCTCCCAAAATACTCCTGCTTCTTCAAAACCTGGAGGCAGGGGAGGAAAAAAAAAACTGAGAGACACATCAAGTCAGACAGCAGGACGGAGTGACAGATTACTTCTTGAGGAACTGTTGGTCACTGGCAGGCGACGGGCAGGAGTGGAGTGAGAGGCCTGTCGGCCTTCAGTTGGCTGGCCACTTGCAGTGGCCAACGTTCAATAATGATGATGATGCTTACCTAGTCAAACTCCATCCTTCCGTTTTTTGTCTGAAGGTAACGGGGAACCACCAGGTATTAAAATATTTTGTTCTTATCAGAAACTTCATCAAGATGGAGAAAGGCAAGAAATGAAGTGCGACTGGACGACAATTTGAATATACGTAATATACGCTGGGTACGGGCAAAAAACCGTTATATATATAATTAACATTTCCCCAACGCAAAAAATACATCTTGAAGACAATTTGAATGTTTAAAACTTTCTCAGTGTGTTTGTGGCCCCCATCAAAATCAAGCGACTACAAAAATATCGCCAACAGATCCTAGCATCACTGTGATCATGCAACACAGTATGCCACCATGAAAAATTTGGTCATGTGACCATGATCAGGTGACCGAGGATGCTACTGTAATCATGTGACTCTGTGACTGCACTGAATCGTGGGACGCAGTTACACCTATAGATTTCTCACTTGCAGAGGAAATCATGTTAGCCTCTTACTGTCATTCTCGGCAGCCAATGTGGCTTAACTTTTTCCTGTCATTTCAACTAGCCTCGGCTAGTACCTTTCACAGTCTGCAATGGTTAACTAAAAAGCTAGTCTAAGATAAATTTCCTGGAATCACTTTGGTGGGTGTGAAAATCCAGGAAAGAAGCCTTCTTTACCTCGGTATCTGCAAGTCTTTGGGAAAGACCCACGACAAACACCAGGTTCCTCTGGACCACTCTGCAATGCAAATTTCACAAGAAAAAAATGAAACATTAACAAGAAAACTCCTACAATTTTTCTTTGTACAATTTTTGCAGACACTCCGGGATGGCCAGCTGTTATGCGCTAGGGAGAAAAATAAAGTGAATGACAGTGGTATTCATATGACAGGTGTTTTATGGCATAACAGTGGCAACTTTCCATAGAACGCCCCACAACCAATGATCTGTGATATAGTACTGAAGTGAATAGGCCTTACGCACAATTGTGTGTTAAGGGCATTAGCGCAAAAGGAGCGTGCGAACCAAAATGCGCGCGTGCTCCGTTCGTTTGCGCTACAGTCCCTGGTTCAGAATGACGTCACGCTTTGGTGATCTACAGCAGGCTGCTACCACGCAACTCTTGTAATTCTAGACGTCCCGCTGAGCTCCAACAAAATTGGTGAAAGTGGCACTCCGCGTTTTCTAGTGATAATGTCCATCTTTTACCTGACACTGGCGAGGTGTTTGCGACTGTCCGTTATCTTCTGCTTCCTCTGGTGGTCCTTCTGCCGTTTCTCGTTCTTGATTCGTTGCAACCTGGAGAGCAAGTTGGCATCATTCCTCATTACATTACGACTTAACGTGGACCAGAACTGTCCACTCTGTATAATTATTTGCCTGTCGCAACAAATGCCTCACAAAATGTGCACGGACGAATTTCTGCATAGATGTAACCTTACAAAATTTGGGTGCATGATCCATTTTTTTTGGGGGGGGGGCTATGTGGACCCCCTGAGCATCACATGTGGAAAATATGGATGTTTGCTCGCCTTCTAAACCTTTCCTCACAGCACACAACGTGCCAAACTGCGACTCGTAACGAGGTCCACCTGCTCTGCGACAGTTCAGGAGTTTCAGACCAGGATGCCGGCCCTTACCACACACAACCAACCCTGAACAATTTACGGCCCCTAGGGGGAAATGCTGCTTGTTTCCAGCAGCATTTAACCCCCCCCCCACCAACTGGAAGGTTTCAAGCGTCTGGAATACCATCCAGACGGCATCAGCTGCAGTGGGGAGGTCCAAGGGGCCCGCAGTACTGGTACCCGGGCATTTCCGGGATTTCTGAAATTGATTGGGACTCCATCCAGGAATTGGAATTACTTTTGGGACTGATTCCAATTTTTGTTGGTGAAAAATAACTTGAATAAAAAGAAAGCTACCTGTTTGGAGGTTACATGCGTAATGGTTATTAATTTCCCACTGAACACTTCTCTGAAATCGGAATTCTAATTAGTAACGAACAGCGTGCAGGAATTGAATCAGAGTCCCTTCCGTATTTGCTAGGTCCTTTCTGGAATCAGATGAACAGAATTCACCAGGATGGACGCTGGAACCTTCCAAAAAAATGTGGAATCGTGATTCCGATTCCAAATTGGGAAACGATTCCAGTGGATTACTGAATGGAACGGCCCGACACTGACCAATCTGTGACCGCTGTACACTTACTCCTCTTCTGTCAGTGGCTTGAAGTCGGCAGGGCACTCTGGGTAGGCTTTCCTGCACGCGGGACACAGGCCGTTCTCGTCTGTGCGAATCCGATGCCAACAGAAGCGACAAATCTACAGAAATGAAAAGCCGCAGCAGCATGACAATGTTATCATGTGGGTTTTGCGTGGGGACGTCAATTTCATACTAGGTTTTTTTTCCTTGGAACCAACGCGTAAATTCACACCGTCTTCTCAATGTGGTCCATGAGTTGCAAAAATATTACAAGACGGCTCAGGTGAGATTCGAACCCACAACTTCTTGCTGCAAGTGCAGACGTCTCAACCACTGGACCACCGAGTTTGATACGGTCGAGTGGTGGTCTCAAACCAAATGCAACGACAGGTAATCAATGACATCATTTCTTAGCACAGTAGGCTCATTTCCCTGTCGGTGCATGACGAATGTTGGGGAGTGCAAGCACTCGTGCCTGTAACAGTCTGGCTTAACCCCAACTGCCCAGTA